TATTTTTCTTTAAATGGGTTTGTAGTTGCAGACATAACTCTTTGTATATTCACATAACAAACATAAATTTACCCCTTCAACTAGGAAGGAGAGGAGAAAGAAGGGGTAGTCGTTGGTCATACAGGTGTCTAACTGCTGGTGTCTTGGTTAAGAGGCTCTATCAAGTCCTCCTGACTTCCCCTTGGGCAGAGATGACTTGTTCTTCTGCTCATTTCTGCATATGAGAGAAAACCTGAAAAAATTAAGCAATGTCCTGATTTTTATACTTACTCTATAATGATATTGTTCCTTTATTCCTGTGCTTACTGATGAAAAATGCTTTTCATTTTACATATCATAGGCTTCGAGCAGAATCATGATCCTTCCTCAAAATGATGTTTATTAATTTCTCAAATTTTCTCAGAGTGGAAAAAAATTGAACACTGTCTCTAAATGTGGTTTTTGTCTACTCAAGATTTTTTTCTGGCCCCTGTTGGAACAATTAAGACTATAGATTTCATGGGATTAGTGCAAATAAATGAATTTTAAATAATTACAATACCATTATTAACATAGACCTTTCAGCACTAACCATTAAGTAAGGATCATTATCTGCTTGCCCAAATATTAGGTATGTTTCACGTATTTCTTCCTTTATATGGCTCTTTGAGTTCTGGAAATGGTCCCCAAGTTAAACACTCAGTAGAAACTTGAGTGACATTTTAAATACTGGCACATGGGAAGCACCTGTAAGGGTAGTGGGAGTGGGGAGCCATGTGGGGGACAGGAGAAGAGAAAAAGAATGTGCTGTTCTGTCCGGTATTGACATAACCACAAATGACAGGAAAAAAGAATAAAAATTTTCTTGTAAATCTAATTCTCATTAGAACGGTACCCAGTTCAACTAGTACCTGCAAATGAATCTTCTGTAAGAAAGATCATCCATCAAAAAGCAGTGTACTGTAAGTCCCATTACCAAGTTCTTTTTTGTAAATATAATTATTTTTGTTTAAGTTTTAAAAAGTGGGGCAGAATTTCCATCGATGTTTCTGGTTCCTCACAGAAAAATGTTTGTGAGACCTTCCCAGGTCTCACAAACTGATTCTGACTAAAGAATCAGTATGTTGGCTATTCACTGCCTCTATATTAAATTCCCTAAATTACCTGAAACAAGTATGATGAGTGAGTTACCTCTGAGTTACTATACATATTCCTCTTTAGCAGAACAAACGTACATGGAAAATAATGCCTAAATCAATGGTAGTTCTGTATATCCCCAGATTTTGAGCTGAATAAATCACAATCCTCTTTCCTTGCCTCCAGGGAAGGAGAGAAGAAATCACAGATAACAAAAACAGATTTCTTCTGCGTTATTTGCACTGGAAGCAGCTAGAACAGTCAGCATACAGAATTAAGCTGAGGGAAGTAAAATTTTGGCCACAGACAGAAAGAGTAGGATAGAGACTAGAAATGAGTCAGAGATGACCCTAAGATAACTAACAGTGTTTGTAATTCTTACAAATTCCTCCCAAATGACAAGATTTTTGTTGGTCTCGTGACAATCCTGTGAAACTCCAGCCCACTCAGGAATTTCTGTCTGTTTAGTAAAAGTCCCCCCTACCAAACAGCTCGTACCTTGTTAAATGAGGGAGGAACCAGGAGACAGAGCTGAGGGGGGGACTGTGCAGGGCAGGAGAAGCAGAGATGGGGCAGAAGGGATGTGTGGAGCAAAAGAACGTTGCTCATTTTGGAGTCAGGGCAGCAGAGGTGGCTGCTGACAAGCAAGAGGTCTGGAAGGTTCAGAGAATGATAACCACAAAGCACACAGGACACAGAAGAGTGTGTTCTTTAACGTGGCACCTCACACAGGCCAGGGGTAGGGAAAGGCAAGGTTCACTCATCATTGGATGGCATCACAATTCATGATTATAAAGGCAAAAACACTGGAGTTGAGCAATGAGGAGAAAAGTGATCACTAGTGGTTCTAGAGAATTTATTAAGGGAAGATGTGGTCTTTAGTTTAGACCTAGTAAAGCCACCTGGGTAGCAGCCTAGAGATAAAATGAGAAGGGACTAGTTAGAGATGTACAATACACATGGAAGTGATCTGCAGAGGAATTAAATCCTTTTAATTGTCCACATGACATCAGCCCCAGTCATCTTTTGCAAGACCAAACATGTTGTTAAACCTGAGAAAATATTACTTTAAAAAAGAATAATAATAAGAAGAAAAGCCCAACCAAACACTTAAGCTGTAAAGAAGGCTCTGGGATTTCTGAATGGCTGTATAGGTTTCACTTGTTTTACACTGAATATGAGGCAAGATCTCCATTGCACACAAATTAGCAAATAGAAAAGAACATAAGACAGTAAGAACATCAGGTGAGGACAGATGTACAAAAGCTGCGGATAATGTGGTATAGAAATTTTTAGGTAACCATGTCTGGGAGGCCCCAGTGACACATAAGGAAGCTCTCCCTACATTCTGTGATTCTCTGTGTGTTGAACATCTGAAACATCACGTTTGTTGCTAAATAGGTGGCTGATCCACAGGAGTGGATTTCCGATAGCGGGCAGGGATTGCAAATGTGCAGGAGATGTGGTTTCTGCACAGCTACATGAGTTTTCCTCAGTCTCTCTTCCCAAATTCAGGAGTTGAAGAGTAGGCACAATACCTCATTGGTACCGTCCAAGTTCCTGTGGCCCCAGAATGGAACTGGGAGATGGAGTCCATCATGGGAGGCTAAAGCTACAATTCCTTCTTCGTGTAGCCACCAGTAGATTTGGAGATGGCTTGATGAGACAGCATAAGTATGGGTGTCCCTGACAGTATCCAAGCAGGACAAAAGGTCAAGAAAGAGTTGAGATCTTGAGGCTCAGTGAAGAATAAGAAAGTTGCTAGAGACTTTGTTCATTCTCAGTGAGGGAGTAAAAGACAGACTGGAAGCAATTAAATTAAAAATTAGAAGAAGAGGAGCCTTAAACAACGCCTGCAAGCTTTCAACACAAAGATAATGCAGCTGAGGAGAAGAATGAAAGCAGAGCAGCAATTTATGTTGTGTATGGAGTCATCACAGCACACTTGTGTTGACAGAGGAAGAAACCAGCAAGCAGGGAGAGGCTAGGGATGAAAGGATTACCGAAAGGGACTGGGAAGTTCAGGCTGGAAGAAACTGAGTGCTTGGACAGATGGAGGGGTTTGGAGGGAAGGAAGTGCATTCGTTTCCAGTTTCAGTCCTAAAATTGAAAGAAGAAAGGGGCTGGAGAAGACAAGGAAGTCAGACGTGGTGTACAGTACTGCCTACCTTTTTTCCAGGATGCTGGTAAGACCTTGTGAAGAGAGAGGAGAGCGAAGAGGGAAGGGAGTGAGGAGAGACAGAAGCTAGTGAATAGCTGATGTCCTCTGCAGAGGCATTTGGCCAGGAATGTGGCAGGAATGTGACTGCAAGGCACCGACCCCATAAGGTGTACACTTCTTTTGCTACGTTTTTTTCATGAATTTTGTTTGCTGGAGACATACTTTTCAGAACATCATTCGATCAGCTCCTGGCGCACTAACAAGCGCCCTAGCATCGTTAAGGTTTAGTCTAATTAATTTTATCTGCGTATTGTGGCTTCAGCGTACTCTGCATCTGGCATAGCTTCCCAGGCAATTATACCCGAGCAATTAAGCTGGTAAACAAGCGCGGGTTATGCTGCCTAATCCCAGCCGCGGGCACCCGAGGAAGAGGAGGCCGGGGCGGCGGGATGGCTGGATTTTGCCCACTCCCACGGGGTTTTTCTTCCCGCAGGAGGGGAGCGGGAACGCTCCTCCAACCGGGACTCCCGCACCCAGCGGGGGAAGGTGCGGGCTCCCAGCCGCGGGTTAGGATGCCGGGCCAGCCCCGGCGGGCGGACAGACGGCCACCAGCACCACGGACACTGCCGCAGCCTCCCGGCACCGGCGGGGGCACCGAGCGGCGGGGCCGGGGCTGCCGTGGGTCTGCGGGACGCGGGTGCGTGGGGAAGGGAGAGAGAGACGGTGACGGCGGACATACCCGCGTTTACCCCGGGCGGCTCCCCGGCTCCCGAGTGTAGCCATGAGACACCGTTTACTGCGGTTATTCCGGGGGAAGGGCTCTGCTCCTGATGGTGCTGCTGCTGCCGCGAAGGGAAGGACCGAGGAAGAAAAAGGGGCGGGAGAGGCGGCGGGGGGTCAGACAGGCACCGGGGGCTCTTCTCGGGTGGTTTTATTTGGCAGCAGTTCGGCAGCGCCTCTTTATTTCATTATTTATTTATTTTTTTGGCGATGCCATGAAATAAGTGTTTAGCTTAAAAATGTCAGCGCAGTAACTCGGGGGTTTATCCCCCAAGGAGACGTGCCCAGGAAGCCCCCCCGGGGTCCCCTCGGTGCTGGCACCCCTGGTGACCTCCTTTCTTGCCCCCCCCACCCCGGTATCCCG